CATTAGAGAGATAATTGTTTATTATAAGTAAATTAATATATTTAAAATATTTTCTTTATATAGAAAAATGTTACGTTTATCACATATATTTATATTTGATTAATGTGTGCATTGTATGTATTGTATTGTAGCCATGTATGGAGTTCTTAAAGCACGATGAGTGTCCAACCCTTTCCTTCCTGCCTTAAAGACGACTATAATATTAGCTTGGTGTCTTGTTTAAGTATATTATATTAATGTACAAGTCAGAAAAAGGTATTCCATGATTCCCCTTTTTCAAGCTTTGTGGAAACTGATCCATTAATTTTGTGACAGTAATCCACAGATCGGTTTCTCCCATCTCGAACTGAGTAACTACTTCTTAGGAAGGGTTATAGTTCAAGCATTGATACTGTTATTATTATTATCGTTAGGATTATCAAGCCGGTAGTCATCATCACCATCATCATTATCGTTGTCATAAACATCATCATCATCACCACCATCAGATCATCATCGTCAACAACGAAGTGGTGGCCATGGGTGTCTGGGCGTCATCGTCATCACCGACGACATCGTCATATTTGTCGTCGTTCTTCATCGTCATTATTACCGTCGTCATCATCAATATCATCAACATCTTTTTTTCGCCGTCACCGTCATCTTAGTCATGTTCTCAATCATCATTACCATCAACATTATCGTCGTCATCATCAACATCATCATTGTCGCCATCATTAACATCGTCGCAGCCGTCATCTTGGTCTTCTTTAATCGTTATCTTCATCACCATCATGATTATCATCGTCATCATCATTACCATCGTCGTCATCATTATCGTCACCATCAGCACCATCAACATCGAAGAGGTGATGGCCGTTGGCACCATCGTCGTCAGTGTCATCGTCAAAGTTTCATAGTTAGTCGCAATCATCACCATCAACATAATCGTCGCCATCGTCGCCATTATAAAAAATGTATTTATCGTCATTGTTATTTAATCATCGTTAGTCGTCGTGTCCACCACCACCATGATTCTCGTCGTCATGATCAACATCATCGTTGTCACCATCATCCACACTGACGAGGTGGTGTGCGTCGGCACCATCGTCGCGACGACGCATCGTCGTCGACGTCAATTGTCATATTAGTCGTCGTCATCGTCATCATCAACATTATCATCGCCATCATCATTAATATCATTGGTTGCGAGATTTACGAATAAAAATTAAACCTGTTTCGTCGGAATGTGACAATTTATGAAAGCCCTTCAAAGTCAAAGTAGAAAACACACACACAAAACAAAATATTGTAAGATATTTTAATTTCAGAAATTAATTTTATTTGCACTTTCAAATCACAAAAAAACCGGAACGACAATAATATCATACAATATATTATATTACACGACTTTGAAAGATGCACACCTTATTTCAACATGAAATTCATTAAAATATTTAACGCATATAATGACGTATTGTATTTTAAAGAATCGATAGAACGGTACGTGTTAAGAGAAGGAAAAATGAAGAAACGAAATAATAAACATCAGAATGACAAATTAACATTTAAATGTTGCTTGTTAAGAGAGGTCTTATCGCATTGGATGATTAACATTAGCAAACGAAAAATCAAGAATGCGTTACAAATCCAATGGGATAAGCCCTTTCTTTAACAAACAAGTTTTACATGTTAATGTAACTGCTCCTTCTGCTGATTTTGTAGAGCCCTTATCCATCAGGCAACATTCATATATGCAGATACTACACGTTTAGGCGGCCCAACCACGTCGGACTTCAATATAATACGCCTTCTTCCTATCTTAAACAATACAGAATCTCCGAAGAAAAAATGTCGACATAATTATATAT